TTGTATCAGACAGCTTTTGTTGGCCAAGAGTAGTCAGCAGGAGGGAATGTAGAACTGAATGAGAGAGTTCTGTAATCCGTTGCAAAGGTAAAGGGACTTGGAGAGATGGAACACTGAGATTGAGAATGGAGGACTATTGTATTTGACAGCTAGTTTGCTTGTTTAGCAGTCATTTCATTTGGCAATATAACTGTGAGGTTGCACATGACTTTCATATTATTCATATTGAGCTGCTTCTTAAACCCCTATAAACTCATCTCTGTGTGTCAAAGTTTGATGTTTGAAAAACGCTCATGTATCTAAATCAAATGATTTACATTGTTTGATGACGTTTATTTATTGGCAACGCTGCAAAATTAAAACAGACAAAATTACAACACTCCTTGCTCTCCCTCTCTCTCTCTCCTTATATATAAAACAACGCTGCTCATGTGTTGTGTTAATTTTTTCTTTGACAATAGCAATCTGACATTAACAGATAAAAACATGTCATAATCTAATTATGCGTGCCCCAGCATAATGTGGTACGGTGACACTGGGAGACTTTAACTTGACAGACGGAGGCTTTACCAGCACTCATTAGAGCAGGCATGTTCTATACACATTTACTTATGCAGATTTTAACTGTCATGGCAGGTGTAGCGCTCATTTGCCATTTTTAATAGAGCCGGTAATGTTTTTCTTATCAGTGAAAATGAACATGTTGCTCAGGAATGAGTTCTTTATTCGATTGACACAACAATGTAAGAAAAGAGCAAACAACCCTCAGCGATGCTAAACTGAAATGAGCCATTTTTCTTGTCCACCGCACATAATTTATTTTACCATGTTCCCCTTCAGCCGCAGAACAAACTATCCCAGGCTCTACCTATTATAATTACCTATCAAAATAAAATAGTCGATGGATGTTGAATAAATATAATCATAGCAACCCCATGGATGTATAATGATGCTGTAAAACATGCCTCAGCAACCCCTAAAATGCACAACAGGCCACATGACAGGCCGAGCGGTTCTATAATCTCCAGTAATCTCTGGTTGTAGGCTCCGACATGCACCAGAGCATCTTCACCCCCTGTAGCTTCACAACGTGACCTACCACCCCTGGTTTGTGCGTTTCATGTAAATATAGTGTGTAATGACACACTGTCAGAGCACAGATGCTATTATGGCCTTCCTACCAAGCAGAGGTCATCTTTGCCACCCCGCCCAAAGGAGGGGCAGCCTCACCGCCGTGGTTAAAGGCCCTGCTTTCACCCAGACCAAAATGACATACGTGATTTTATCTTTACATTTTCACCAGGGTTTGTGGTGGAGAGTGCTGAGAATCCTATCTGAAACTTCACAAGGATTTCGCAGATACTCACTGATTAGTGGAAATGTTTCTGTGCCTTTCTTTTTTTTGTTATATTTGGTTAGAACCTTTGCTCAGTTTCGCTGGAATGACACACGCTGCAAGCTGCTATGATAGGTGTCACAATGGCAAAGTAGTAGGGAGTCCAGCACATCTCTATGATTATGAGAAAACAGGGAGGGAGCATTCAGTGCAGAGGCAAGTATCCATTACATTCCAGCTCTGAGCCAATCCAGAAAGGCATTTACATGTGCCTTCCTTTGAAAGTTCAGACGGTGATAGGCTCAGATCATTTTCACTGTGAAATACAACAGTTTGCTTCTATCACAAGCATTCCAAATGTATTTATTCTTTGCAAGCCACAATGTGACGTATGTGCTGCCAACTGGTTTTATTTAGCAACATAGTGTATTTCTTGGAAACCCTGAAAACATCGGTGATGAGGTTTCTTGTACAGAACACAAAGCTGTTCCCATCGCTTTCACAAATTGTTTACAATGTGACATATTGGAAGCAGTTGCTCCCCAAAAACGAGTGGAGCTCACTGCAGCACACATCTTGATCTCTACACTCCAAAAATATTTCCAAATAACACAAAGAAATAGCCAAACCTGCAAACTGAGTAATGTTGGGAATATTTTCCAGATGGCTGTTGTACATTGAACCCATGGAACGTTTTCTGGTGTGCAGATTTGAACATAAGCCATCCTTGTCAAGACATTTGCGCTATATTCTCCTTCCTTTAAAAAGCTCAGTGAGTGCCACAGGGAGAACATCTCTCCGTTAATTTATTAGTCACACTTTGAAGTCATTCTCACCTTTCTCCTAAACTCCACTGATGGGTTGAGTTCAGCATTTAAGACGCAAATTAAAAGCAAAGACCTTGAGGCACGGGGCCATCTGGTCCGTCTTCTGCCTCTACTGTACGTTTCATCAGCAGCCTGATTATTCTTCCCCCCACAGGCTGAAGCTGCACGAGGAGCAAATGACCATACGGCAGCAACACTGTACACAGTGAGAGCAAGCAATCAGAGTGTCACGTCAGTAGCGCACTCGCTTGTGGATGTAAACGCAGCATATGGTGGATTAAATAGCACTGAAAAAATAAAGCAAAAAGGAAGCAAAAAAAAAAAAAAATCCTTTTATCATCATACTTAGTGGCAGTTTCTACTCTTTTATTTTCTTGTATGCAGTCAGTGCAAGGTTGGAGAAAAATGTCAATAAGTGTCAGTAGAGCTGCAGATTGTCAAACATTAAATTAATCACCAACTGATTTTAACAATATTTTAAAGTAAAAAGGGGAAATTCCTATTTTTAAAATTCAATAATTTCTGTTCCTCTACAACAACACTTTGAGTATCTTTGGGTTGAGGACAAGACAACGCATTTGAGGATGTCAAATCGAGTTTTGGTATACACTGATTGACATTTTTCACTGTTTTTTGACATTTTATGGACCAAACAACTAATCAATTAAGCGAGCAAATGACTGACAGATGATCAAAAAATGAAAATTGTTAGTAGCAGCCTGACTTCTTAGCTATTAGCCTCCGTAAGCTGAGTGTATTAAGCTTTTGTTAGCACCACCGTCAAGTGAACCTGTAAACAAAAATCTGTGTAAGAATGGGTTAGTGTATGTGGTTCTCTTTTAGGTCTTTAAGGTGGCGTAGTTGCTGGCACTGTTGCCTCACAGCAAGAAGGTCGCCAGATCTTTCTGCGTGGAGTTTGCATGTTCTCCCCGTGCAGCGTGGGTTCTCTCCGGGTTCTCTGGCTTCCTCCCACACAGTCCAAAAACATGTTGAGGTTAATTGGTGATTCTAAATTGTCCGTAGGTGTGAATGTGAGTGTGCTTGGTTGTCTGTCTCTAAGTGTAGCCCTGTGATAGACTGGTGACCTGTCCAGGGTGTCTCCTGCCTTCACCCTAAGTCAGCTGGGATAGGCTTCAGCCCCCCCGTGACCCTAGTGAGGATTAAGCGATGTATAGATAATGGATGGATGGTTCTCTTTTATCCTTCTAGATCACCATGGTGACTGATGCTGCATCGCTAACCTGCTCCAGAGGAGGTTGTGCTCAGAGTTTAGGATTTGAATAGGCTGTAAGACGTGCCCCCCTTTTACCATTTCTTCTCCTCAATATATTCTCCATTAGTGATTCTTAGCTTAGGTAACCCACTTATTCATTTGCTGATGCAGAAATTGCACAAATATTGCAGCTACTAGAACACAGATTAGAAACGTTATTAGTCTGTTGGTAGTATCACAGAGAATGCTCGATCACTAATATTAATTTCATTCAAAAACTGAAGTGATTTCCAGAGTATCATGTTTCAATGTATAAAGTGTACAGCGGTCACAGCAGAAGTAAGCGCTTGCATTAAGAGTGCACTTAGTGTTAAAATCGATATATTAATTATACATACAGTTCAGTCTTGCTTGTTGCTGCAAAAATTTCTTTTCATATTTTTCATATCTCTCCATCATAACAACCTGTTTCTATTGACTGAAGTAGGTCGTTCAGTTCCTTTAGTGAAGAAAAGCCAAACGGGCATGAACCCAGCCTGGAGAAGAAAATCTGGCTTAATAAAGAAAGCTGATACGGTTGTGATACACATTATCTCTGATTGGGGTTTATTAGCTAGCTATGTCGAACAGGCTTCATAGTACACACCTCAGAGGATGAACTCAAAAATCTCTGGTCTAAATTTCTGTTTGCACGCTGTTCACAGTAGCACGCCTAGAAGTTTATTAGGCAGATTACAGATTTTAATGCTTCCCAAAGGATCTGATCTGGTCCAAATTCTGAAGCAGGCACACAAATAATGATGGACTGATTATAGCTCAAAGTCTGTTGGGAGTGATCATAATCCAAAAAGGATGAAACCTGTTGATTTTGGCATTACGCTGAAACCACAACTTTCAGTAGTAGACAGGAAAGTGTCTATCCCAACAGGCTCGCCAGGGCATTTGCAGAACACATTCATAGTCCGTTTGAATCTTTTCACTCATGACTTTCTGTAATGATTTCCTGACCGCAAACTTTACATTAAGAGCCCATCTGCAAAAAAAAAAAGCTAAAATATGTGAGAGTGGCAAGACTGGTTGAGGATGCCATTGCTTCTGTGTCGTTTTATATCATACTTTGACCATGAATCAGGATTTGTGAGAAACACGTGCTGGCAAAGCGCGCAGGGTTCCAGCAGTAATCTTGATTAATCCCATGACTCTACTTACCCAAATGTAAAGGATTTACAAGATATTTAACAAGAAAAGATACTTTTCTTATTGAGGCACAAGTGAAATGGAAATGTCTTAAAACTTCCCAGCAGTTGCGAACTGCGGCCATGACATAAAATTCTATGACTTTTTCCGCAATTTCACATCTTTCTATCAAAGTGCTGCCACGACTGAAAAATATCCGTTTTTTAGATTTTCTCAGCAGGGTGGACAGGATGAGCAGCTGGTCGAAAAATCCAAAACTACTAAAATGAATACAACAAAATATCTTCAACAAGTTGTAAAATTAATTTGTAAAATATGTTCTGCAGAAGATTCATCAAACTAAAACATTCCCATGAGTGCTGAGTGCACTGCTTTGCTTCCAAAAGGATCCAGTGAAATCCCAAGAAATTCAAAGCATTAAACCAAATGTTTTCACCAATTCAGATCACTTTATTTTACTTAAAAACCACATATCTATTATATTAGTACAGTATAGTTTGGTTCTTGTTAAACTAAATAAAGATTGGAGCAGAGTTGGACACATATAATCAAAAGTAACAGCACAGAGAGGCACACAGTCACAAATTCAACCATTCAACCAAAATACCACTAAACCCTACAGTATCCAACTTTTATTTTGGAGGAAATGAAATCATGAGCATTATGTTACCAATGAAGCTAAGATAGTTTCACCATATAGAGTGGCTCAAGTCACTTTTCCCTTGCAACAGAATGCGGTTCTTTAATCCAGAGATAGGTTAACAGTCTTCTAGCTCGAGGACATAGAGGGACATGGAGCCCATCTGGATACTGCTTTCTGATTGGATGGTCAACAAAGTGTCTTTTCCTGGCTGGTCTCCACCGACTGGATGAATGAAGAGGAAAAGGGAGAGAGAGCTTCAAGTTCAGGGCTACCAGAAGTTGGCTCTGGAAAAACAGAGAGGTTCAATAAGTGAATAACTTGGCGATCGGCAGTGGATGGCAGATGAGGAGGAAAAGTGGAGCTGGATGGAGATGACGAACAATGAGGATGTGTTGGATTCAATTAAGGATCTAATAAATGGCTCCTCCTCTCTTATAGGCCAAGCTTTGAATGGCAATAACTCAAGATGACACTGACAATTAAAAAGGAATTACGAAACAGCTTGGCAGGCAGTTCCAGCTCAAAGGATAATTCAACACTTCTGCAAATAATGAAAGACAACAGGGTAGGCCGCATTCTTAGATGCACAGTACAAGGTTGCACAACTCCGCGGGCATATCCATGACATGCACGCCCTGTTAACACTTGGCACTAAAAATCAGTCTTGGGTGGTCTGATTACAAGTCGGCACGGCTAAATGCAGGTGTGAACACACTCAAAACAGATGCTGTGGAATCCTCAAAACTCTCCAGCTTCACGTCAGGAAGCTTTGGTGTCAGGGAGGCATGTCCACAGAATACAGATGCATCCCGGACTGAACTCTTGCAGTGATGTGCGACATGCGTCAAAATTTAGTTTTTGGTTTCTCGCAAAACGCGGGAAGAATTTTCATGTTGATTTAGGTGCTGTCCACTGATTTTGGACACAACAAGACAAAGGCAATTTGCATTTTTATGTCAATTTAACAAGTGGAATAGTTTCCCAAATGCTTACTGAAAAAGATATACATCAATATATATGTTTACGGCTGAGTCTAAGGGTGTGATATTACCTGTTTAGCAGTGGCATCTACTGACAGATTAAAAGCTATGTGAGCTGGGACTTAAAATGCACTCCAATGAGTAGAATATATATGGGATTAGTCTGTCATGTCTGGACAAGAATAAACTATACCTGTAGTGAAGGGTTATAGTAGAGGGTACGTGCAAGGCAGTAACATCTCCTCTGATGATAATTTTTGTTCTTGATGGCAGGTCATAGTTAAGTCACCTTTTCATGTCTTTCTAACTACAGAACTGGAATAAATAATGCAGATTACAAGGCAGCTGTCGACAGGCTTTAATATACACTAAGTGTATGAAAACGACATAATGCTCCATTAAAATTTGCTTCAAAAGGAGCCGTCGTATCTTTTCTACCTGATGGCGGTTTAGTAGTTGATCATCCTCCTGATTGCCTCAAAGCACTTCCATTTGTCGGGGATGTAGAAGGGCTCGAAGATGTGAGGGAAGGGAGTGTCGTAACCGCAGACCCTGCTGACGGGAGCCTCCAGGTTGAGGAAGCACTCCTCCTGCACGGGAAACAAAAACAGACAAGACAAATACTGTCATCATTGGTCGAAAGATGTCAGCGTTCAAACACTGTTCATTCGGGCAGAAAAAGCTAAACTAATGTGTTCAGGCAATTTTTGAAACTCTGGAAAACGTATTTGGGTCCTGCATGTCACAAGCTGAATCTCTGAGACCAGGTTGCCAGAGACCACAGCATCCCCACAGACCAGTTCATCACTGTCATGTTTACATTATACATATCCAAATTGATTTGCCATTTTTGGTATCTGAACGCAGGCACATACTTGCACGCTATACGTCAATTCTGAGTGATTAGTAGAAATGCCTGTACATTACACATCTGTTACCAGACTCCATGATGGTTTCATTGTAATGTAACTGAGTGAGACAAACCAGGTATTGTTTGGGATATGAAGAGACGAATGGTGGAAACAAAATGTTCAGTAAAGCAGAGAAGAGATTTTTCATGAGCTGTATGCATAGAAAACATCAACACATCCACACACTTTCCTCTTTTTTGTCCAAGCTTTCCCTTATACTGACATTTGTCAGAGCATGAAACGTACATTACGTAGTTGTGTGTAGTAGCTCAGAAAAGTTTTGGTGTCTAGTTGCAATTTTCATTCTTTTTCCCTTCTGTTCCTGCTGTTGAATACTGGCTTTAAAAATGTATAACATGACGATATCACAGTAAATTTGACCTTTGAACTTTCAGGTCAGTTCACTCTTGAATCCAAACAAGCGTTTACGAAATTCTCTGTGTTCAGATTGTAGAGACACTGAGTTCACGAGAATGTGATGGATGGACAAATGGAAAACTCAAAAGCAGCCTCTGGTGCAGCGGCTTAAAAAAAAAGAAAAAAAAAAGCTTTTATTTTACAAAAATCACAAAGTGACATTATCTACAAGTGACAGTGTTGCTTTAAGACACTTCAGACAGTTGGAAGAAGGGAGTCGCAATTTTAACCTCTCTACTTCAGCCAGACTGTCATCCAGAGCAAGTAGCTTGAGTCAGTATTTTTCGTCTGGGGGATTTTCCCCCAAATTCAACATGGCAGGTCCAACCTCTCCACCCCTTTCATTTACAGAACTACAGACAACTAGTCTAGCCTTTCTCTGTGTTTTTACACATTATCAAGAAGGGACGTCATGCAAATCAAGACAAGTGTAGAATAGTTATTTTAGAATTTAAAAAAACTTCACTTTCCTTATTATAACTAATTTGTATAATTTAAGTGAAAATGACTCACTCAGGCTCCTCGGCGCAGGCCAGCACTCAGGCAATTTGGCCAGAGTGCAAAACAAGCCATGACTCGTGTCTCTGTATTGGCTTTTGACCTCTTCCCACAGAGAAAAAGCAGAATGAAGTTGGCCAAAACACTCCAAATGGGACAAACCCCCTGATGAGTTAAATGAACACACTTGGACACATGCACACAGATCTGCAGAAACAGACCTGAAGTACCCTCTTTCAGATTAAACTGACCTGCGAGCAACTCAAGCAACCAAAGCAAAAACACAACGGTTAGCTGCCACAATGTTGCACGCCTTCTGTGACAGTGTGATACTGAACATTTTGACCTGTTTTTTGTGACACTGACAGCATCACAAACTCAGCCATCCATGTAATCCCACATTATGAACCCACCAACTGGCTGCCATGCAGCAGTCTGACATTTGGCAGGGTACAACTTGTATGTTTCACACTATGTTTTTCATTTCTTATAAAACATCTGGCAGAGTGCAGGGGAATGTCAGACTTGATGAGGAGCCCTTTTGTGCTTCGGTGCTTTTACAGCCTATAAAAAAAAACAACACAACAAGAGAAACAGAAAGAAAACTGTAGCAGAAGCTTATTGCTTTGTGGGCCGACATGCTACAGAAGCAGATATCCAGCATGGCCGCCAGATCGCCAAGGAGGAAGACAAATCTTGAATTATCAAGATTGGATGTGAGATTCAGTTTATGGAGCAGCTGCATATGAAAAACATCAAACCTATAAATCTAAACTTTAGATTACAAGGGGATACTGGGATATGAATGGATAAAGGACATGTGGCAGTGTGGGAGGTGAAGTATGATTTCTGATGAGATCGCCAACATCGATATAATCCAAACTGCCGCCTTCTTCTTTCATCAACACTGGATCATAAATGGAAGTTAACCAATTTACTGTCCAAAAAAATGTCAAAGATGGGTTAAAGACCTGGCAAATAAAAAAAAAGAAAAAGAAAAAAAAACACTTTGCACTTTTCCATTCCTGTGTCCAAAAGTTTCCTGTTCTATCTTGTACTGCATGTCAAAGAAACACTAAATCTCGTGTGATTTAGACCTGGCTAGCTGGCACATATATGAAATTGTCCTCACTTGTGAGTTGTAGTAGCTCGTACAGTTATGTCATAGTTGGAGGTCTGTGTTTCGATGTCAATTACCAAAACGTTTGATTTGTTTCTTAAAAGAGCGTCGTTCTGGTTTATACATTTCCCTCTTAACCTCCTCTTCCTAATCTAACAACACAGGCCATGGAGCTGTGAGAGAATTTTGTGCTTTCTAAGTCCCTCACGCTTTTCAGTGATCTAGCCAAATCCCTGAATGATTTCATGAAATCCTTCTCGAAACAAAACTCTTGCAACACATTGTTTCATTCAAAATTTGTCAAATTACAACAGCCCAGGTTTTAAGCTTATTTTTTAAATGCTTGTTCACTCAGACCTGGGATTTAACCGTGTTAACTGTGAGGGAAAATCTGATGTGGGGGAAGACAGCAGCAAAGGCAGGATGTGCCTTGTGCTTCAGCCTGACAGTAAGCAGTGCTCAGTGAGGCAATGGGGCTGCTGCTTTTAATTCACAATTTGAACTGTAATGACCAGCTCAAATGACAGTCTACAAGTGCAATGCTGCATGTGGGTTACATTCACACGAACTCAAAACTTGATGATAACCATGAAGCAACCATCCATCTACAGTAAAACTAGTAAAGATAATCAGTGCTCCAGTAAACAAACTAAGTCAGGGCCTGCCCAGTAGTCATAAGGTCTCTGATTTTGGTGCCAGTAAGAATAAACCTAAAACTCAAGGTGAGTTCCACCTGATTTGCTGTGCAAAGATTCATGCTGCTGACACAGTTTTCTGCCTTGCAGCTGGGCCCAGCGCCCCACAACTGGCAATTTGCTCCACCCGGCTAATTAACTGTGATTAGCTTTAATGAATATACACTGAATGGAGACAACTAGTTCAACAAACCCTCCTTTCCCCTTCACTGATGTGTTTCCTCCTTCCTCGATGACTTCAGAACAACCTGAGACCGATTCTCTCCAACAGGCTGTGGCAGATCCTGACAACAGCCACTGTGCGACGGTGATATGAAAGGATAATCTTGGCATTTTCCACTTCTCTTCCCTTTAAGTTTGCTTAAGAACATTACTTTCATGTACTGACAAATGTCCATGGCCTAAGGGTCTCAGTTCAGCTGTGTATTTAAAAGTGTATGGGAGCAGAGAAAAAAGCCTCTGATTCTGAATTGGGAAAAGCCGGTTCTTTGAAAATGTAAAGTTAAAAGTAAAGTTTTCACTGAACAGTGGTAATACATATGACAAAGACTGCAGACATGCTCTGTTTCTCACACAGCTCCAGAAGGCAACACTACGTAACTGGCTTGTTCAAGTTTTCAAGTCTTCTGAAGTGGATAAAAACTTAAAAAGTGAGTCTTCAGTCTTGTTTCAAAGACTATTTAAACATCATTAATGCATGCCATAGCTGTCAAATAACTTACAAAGTTAACTGGTGTTTTCTTGGCTCATTCATTAGAAAGAAATAAAGTTTGTCAAATAGATTGTTAGCATTGAACAGGAACGTACTTGAACAGACTTCGCCTTAAGCAAAGCTCGTGTACTCGTAAGAAGATAGTCTTGTCAGGTCTCGATCGTGGCCTTTTCATAAATTTGCTTCTGTGCAGGTTTGACTTAAAAGTACTGCTTTTCAACTGTATTCATCTGACATTGGAATTTTAAATGATAAGCAGTGAATAACATTGTATTCAAGGTATTTATGAAATATTGGATTTCTGCAGGAGATTCGAGAAAAAGAAGAAGAAAAAACCCCCTATTAAACAATCAAACACCAAAATCTTTTCATCTCAGTGTATTAGTGGAAGTGACAATGGGAGTCTATGGAGATCACAACCTCCAGAACTATCCTCTGCTGGACTACAGACAACCAGTCAGACAGTACCAGGGAGTTTGCCCTTTTGTCTGGATCAGATCTGTAATCTCCTCTAAATACATTTACTGGAAGTGGGAGAAAAGTACAGTAGTCTGAGTGGCTGCCACCACAGCTGGACAAGAGATGGCCACACAACTCAGATTTCATTCAAATCAGTGTTTATCTTTTGGGAAGTGCATCATTATATGTAATATACTTAAAATGTCAGAATAAAAATATGTCAACATGGCAATACCAAAAAACTTGCGTCCAGCAGTGGCGCAGGATTTAAAAATACATTTAGTTTAAAATCGCAGTGATGATATTGTGTCTTCTGTCACACAAAAAACTTGAGATTGTCTGAAACACCCACAGATTGGAGGCTGCAGTCAGACAAGGGCAGAGAAGTGCCAATATTGCATGCTGTATCAGCTCAGACAATGCAAGGCCAACCCAGTTCAAGTTCATGGAGAACTGACCTCAACCAGTTTTGGTCCCTCTCCGATCGTTGACTTAAGCCCTAAATCTGATGTCTGTGTATCAAAGTTACATATCTGGAGGGTTTTCCAATGAAAAGATTCCTTTTTTCCTTGAAATAGCGTAGATGTAAGTACATTGTTGCTTCCTGTAGAGTGTGCAGATCATGAAGTCTGCCTTCCTGTTTGCTGAAGCTGGAATTTATCAGCTCACCTTCAACTCTGCTAAACACTGTAAAACTACTCTGTGCTAAACAATGGCTTGTAATACACCTGGAAATAGATTCTGAAAAAGAATAATGAAAGGCCCACCTCAGATGTTG